GGGAAGGGAAGGGAAGGGAAGGGAAGGGAAGGGAAGGGAAGGGAAGGGAAGGGAAGGGAAGGGAAGGGAAGGGAAGGGAAGGGAAGGGTGGGTATATTTTAAGAATGCTGCTATATCCTAAAATGATTGTTTTGTTTTTTTCTATCCATGTATAGGTATATGCATATATGTATTCTTGCAGCTCACTTGTCCCTGTTCTTTGGCTGCTCTTCAAGGCAAAGCATAAATACATTTGGCTGTCTAAATTTATTCTTACCCTGAGCTCCCAGTTTTAAAGTTCAAGCCATAAATATGTTTCTAAAATTTAACATATCTTTATTGTTATTAACTTTCAGTATAATTATTGATGTTTCTGAGATTCATATAAATGCTGAATCTCTTTTTTAATGTTAATCTAGATTTGTAGCCTCAGCGAATCCATTTGAAACATTTTATACAGCTAAATGACAATAAGGGAGTCCTGCAGTTAAAAAAAAAAAAAATTTCCTTTTTTTTATGAGTACAGATTTTAAAGCCAGAAGGGACCATTATAATCTTCTAAACTTTCAGCAGTTATGAAGCCCATAGTGATTTGCACAGCTTCTTTTTTGAATAATAGAATATTTTAAATAATTTTTAATTAAAAAAAAAAATCTCAAGAGATAAAGAATACACCATACTTTCTATTTCTTGACTTATGAATTTTGGTGCAGGTTTCATTCCGCACTCGGGATTTTAAATCTAGTAACTGTGCTTCACATTTATATGTCTGCTTCATATAGTACAAAGGACTGCTTCCTTTCTCTGCCTTATATTGTAAGAAATCGCTAAGAAGGTACTGTCTACCAAACACAAAGCTAAAGTTTCATTTTTTTCCATTCCAAAGTGAAGGTTTCAAATTAATAAAATATTTACACATTTTTATTGAACCACAGCCTTTGTGTTTGCTTGATTCAACTTTGCTGTTGATTCTGTTAGAATTTATCTGAGTCTTTCTTTGTTTATCTTTTGACTTTTCCAAGCCAAAGGGAATATGACCTTAAAAGCACCAATTATAGTGTGCCAAAAATAACTTCAAAATTTTATAAATAATATCAAGAAGAGTTCTTCTCGAGATTAACTGGCAAATGCATAATTGCAGTATCTCTAAATACTGTGTGTTTCCACCTTATCTGACTTTCTAAAATATAATAGGACAAAATACCCAGGCAAAATATGCAAAGTTCTAGTGCACAAGCAAAGTTTTCAGGACCAGGAAACCAGTGAAAAAAACTCAGCTTCAGTAATAAAATCTCAGCATATTTCCTTCTTTTTACAGATGTTACCTACATTTATTATCTGTAATGATGGCCCATTTTTCACTTCCATGCTTCCTTTAATAAAACAGTTGACCTTCATTAAAAAAAAAAAAAGTAAAAGTAAAATAGAGATAACTGAAAGTTTAAGCTTTGCTTCCAGTCCAGAGCTCATGTTGACATAATAAAATTTCAAGGAGAAAAGGTGGCCTGTGATGCAAATATAGTATAGTATAAATCTGATCCCAGATTACATTCAGCTTTTGAAAGTCTCTTCTTCTAGTTTCAGATGTCATAATACAGGAGTAATCCGATAAACGCTTAGGATTCTTTTTATTTTAAAAATAGTGTCTGAATTTTTAGTTCAGTCACACAGAAATTAAAGTTTAGTCTTTATGCAGCTTTATACTCAAAAACAAGCTAAAATATCCTAAAGCAGCTTTGGAATTGTAAATATTGTTCCTTCAAGCACATTCTAATTTTCAATAGCTCTTATTCTTAGAATATACTACTATGATAATATCATTCCATGATGATAGGATGACCTATTATCGTGTGCTAATGCCCCAGAAATATGAATAGAAGATCTGATTTGTCATCTGATCACTAACATGTCAATGGCACAGTGTTAGGTTCAGTGTTGCTGATGGGACTGTCCCTTAAATTATAAGGCACAGATTTATCCTGTTGCCTGTGGGCTGATCAGATGTGCTCAAGTGTTGTGAGTTCTCCTTGGTTAAGTATAAACCTCAACAAACAGTAGCCCATGCACTGGCAGTCTGCCTCTCTAACCCTTCTGATGGCATCTCTCTAACATGCCAGCTTCATGGCACTTCCTTGACTACAAGGATAAGAGAAAAAACAGACAAGTGGAGCTGCCAGTGTCTTGGCTTCAGAAATCAAAAAGGCTCTCATTTTGGGAGGTGGTTGGTGTAAGGTTTGGGTTTTGGTTTTGGTTGGTGGGAGATTTTTTGGGAGTGAGAAGGGTTGCTTGGGTTTTTTTTTTTTTTTTTTTTGAAGGAGATGTATTTTGAGTTGTTTGAGTGTTTTTTATAGGAAATGCATGTTATAATTTTCTGAAATTTGTGACTGGAAATTGATCCAAACAAAAAACAACAACAACAAAAAAGTCTGAACTATCAAATGGTCTTTTTCCTTCCTGTAGCTGAAAAATCAGACTTTTTATACATAAAGTTTGATTGTTGATGCCAAATCAGTCATTATGGTAATATTTCAGACACAATTGAAACAATAAGGGAAAAACAAAAAGAAAAGTAAGAAGCCTTTCTATAACCAAACAACTTATTTTTTGTTTTATTTTCTCTTGAAGAAGGTATTTTGAGGATTAATCTGACAGCAGCTATAGTTAGGATGCCATATAAATATAAACATGAAATATTTTCTTAAGGTTTTAAAAGGAATTTAATCTAATTGTTCTTGAAATATATTACCTATTGGATTTGCATTCTGACTCCAAATGAGCATCTTATTTTTAATTCATTGGATGCATCTATGCTTTTGTATTTTTAATGCGAAGGGTAGAGCAGAAAAGATTCAGTACAAGCAGATGCCAGTTTTAATATAATGTTCTCCTACTTTGGGGACTTCACTAGCTGTGTGGGTTACCCAGTAAGGCCACTCAGACTTTATAATTGACAGTAAATAATGTTCTTGCAGTCATCTGCTGCCATTTGCTAAAAGAAGCCAAGCCATAATAAAACCAAGTCAATTTGAAGTACTAAAAAGCAAATTAAATACTTTAGATACATAAAATTACTGTTCAGGAGCAAAACTGAAAGCCCCTAATAGAAAGCTGATTTTTGAAGTTCATATATTTCTTAGCATAGAGATCTAAACATTATTTATAGCATGCCAA